ATCTCTCATATATATATATATATATATATATATATATATATATATATATATATATATATATGCGTTATATTTAGTAGATTGAGTGTTTCATTTTCATTATCATTCTTTTGCTGGTTAATTAAAGCCAGAAAATATCATTTGATCGTAACAATTTCTGGAGGAAGCTAAATATGCTTCAGTGAATAAAGTCTTATTATTTAATCTGTTGTTATTTTTGCTACTTATTTGTCAAATATATCCGAATAAACGATGTACGGGAACGGTCAGAATTTTTAGCTATTTGTTATCCAAGCAGATCTAACAGTGGCAATTTCTCGGCTTGATTAACCCTTTGAGCCCTGACCACCGTTTTTCCGGTGGTAGAGAAAAATGACTTAATGCCCAATCACTGGTTGAACGGTGGTAGAGAAAAATGACTTAATGCCCAGCCACCGGTTGAACAGAGGTAGAGAAAAATGACTTAATGCCCAGCCACCGGTTGAACGGTGGATAAACACTTGTAACTACTTTTATATCTACCGTGAAACATAACAATTATTTGCGAATTTTGACTCAGAAGATCAGGCGGTAGGGTTAAATTGTCCAGGAACGCTGGGGTCAAAGGGTTAATGCTAATGCTTGCACTCAAATATTGGAAGTGGGTTGGGCTGAACATTTTTCAGCACCACCGAGTATATATACATATTAGCGTGTTGGAATCATATTTTTAAATAAATAATTATATATATATATATATATATATATATATATATATATATATATATAATAATAATTAAGTAATTTATCGAGTCTAGAAGAAACCTCAACAGAATGCAGAAAGCACTAGATGGCCGTGTTTCGGACAGTCACGTTATCATTCAAACGTCATACCAACTGTTCCATCGGGCCTCGGTGACGAAGAGGTAGCGAATCAGACTCGATATAGCGCCGCTCGATCACATATTCCGTGGTAGAAATCATCCGAGTTTCTCTTATACCTATAGGACTGTGTCCCCACGAGCCACGATTACTATCCCCAAGCCGCTCCATCCAGAGCATTAGAAGCCTGTTCAAGCAAGGATATACGTGATAGAAATTACTTAATTATAATTATCTCAAATCCTCCTAATTTCTATCACTTGTATATCCTTGCCCAGCCACCGGTTGAACGATGGGCAAACACTTGTAAGTATTTTTATATCTACTAAGTATTTGCGAATTTTGACTCAGGAGCTCAGGCAGAAAGGGTTCAAATTGTTCAGTAGCGAAGGAGTCAATGGGTTAAAAGTAATAGAATTCTATCCCAAAATATAAAACGGAAACCGAATAAACACCCGGCTACAAAATGAAACTAAAACCTAATTACATCCCACCCTTATATAATTACGCAATAGAAAATAATTTTGTGTAAAATAGGCACACAATAAAAACAAAGCTTAAAAGTAAAATAAAAATGTACTTAAAAGCAAATATAGGTAAAATAACCTATTTTAAATCTAAATCTAAACTTCGATAGAGTTAGAAAAGAAAACGTTATAAAAATGACCAATTAAGTATTTCGAGAAGAGAGAAGACTAGTTACCCTAAAAGGCTTCTATCCCCATACGAAAGATTCCCAGTTTGCTCAATAATTTAATTGCAATGATTTAAAAAGAAATGTTTTGAAAGCGGTGTTTTTCTTTTTTATCTTTATGGATGGATAAGTGGGCTACGAGAGAGCAAAATCAAAACAGACGAAATTCAATGCTGAATTGCTTGGGGAAATTTATGGAACATTTTAAATTTCTAGAAGTTTTAATCTTAACAAAAAAAAAAATGTTTAATCTTTCTTCGTTTATTTATTGATTTATTTCCTTTTAATCTTCATATATTTAGTCTTTTATTTCGAAAATGTTTTATTGGTTTCAGAAACTGAATTCGATGAATTGCTTTCACCAAAATTAAGCAGCAAGGAAAAAGATTTCAATACAAATTCTATCAGACCATAACGAAGACACGCAGTCTTAAGATTATGTAATGGACATTGGGACATGAGTGCTATGTTAAACATAGTATATTTAGTCAGTAATAAAAACATCAATTTATACGTACAGCATGCGTGCCACATATGGCACGCTAAGCAATTTCCAATGGCACGCTGCCGCAAATGACACCACAAAGTCCAAACCAATAACTATTACAAAGCAAAGAAGATATTTAGCTGTTTCAACTTTAATATATACTAAAGTATATGTACTATATATTACTATATAAATATATTGTAGAACAGAAATATTGACCTTGACTTGTATAGAAATGCTGATAATTCACTGAATGATTTTAAAACCCTAAGTCGGCACATAGCAATTGGTTGTCGACCTCTGGATTATACTACAATCTTTCTCTCCCAGGAAAATTAACCTGTCACTTCTATGAACATAGAGTATATGTAATATATCTATATAATAGTATATCATATATATATATATATATATATATATATATATATATATATATATATATAATAAGGCAGAATGTGTGTGTGTGTGTGTGTGTATGTGTTCGTTTATATGTTTGATCGGATCTCCTACATTTTTCAACCGATTTCAACCAAATTTGACACAGTTACTGCTAATGCTACTGCGGAGGTTTTGACAGCGCCAAAAATTGATTTAAGTCAATATTTAAATCAATATTATGGATTTTTCATTTTTGATCGGACGCACGCGTGTGTAATTATGTGCGTTCACTGCACACAAGCAGATATGGGCACTTTTCATGTCAGAATTAATAGCGGTAGAATAATTAGAAAAAAAGTCGAATTTAAGTGCTTATATGGCAATAAGAAAGGACAAGAATGGCCATATTTTGGTTTCGGATGCAAAAGTTATCACAATGAAGAATTTCTGTCGCAGCTAAACTTTGCGCTCCAAAAGCCACTCGGATTAGTGTTATTAGTAATGCTTGCTTGCTGCTGATTGGCCCATTCACGTTCCGGGGTCATGCGAGATCATGTGTGAACGAGGGGTGGGGGTCACGCGTACGCGCATCAAGCACCCCAAATAGGGTAGAGGTTTCAGGTAGCCTACTTTTATTTCAGGATTTAACTCTCATACCATGGTTTTAAAAAGGATCTTTTAATGTTTCAACGCAGGCATGCATTACTTTCCATGTTTTCTGCATTTGCACAGTAAATTAAACATCAAGGCCATTTTAAAAGGGATTTACAGAGCTACATGTCAAATTTTACCAGAAAAATCAGTAAAAACAAAGTGAAAATGCTGCTTTTTAGGTGTTTGTAGCCCATTTAGCTTACTAAAGCATATGATTGAATTCAGTGGGCAATCACTAACACATTTCATGCCACTTCAAGCCACCAATTTTAAGCCGAGTGGACAGATTCGGCTTCTTCCAATTGTTCAATTTGTCCAATTTTTCACATTTGCTTGCATTTTTTCAATTGAGGGGACGCCGGGGAACTGTTATGTCTTTCCGTGCCGTTTACGTGTAGCAAAAGGCACCTACTCGCTATAATTTTACTACTGCGCATCGTGGCCCAAAAAAGTTCTCGCAGGTTTTCATCTAAATTCGTGTTACTTAAATGCTTTCATCATCCATTAGTTGCTTCAAATTTTGTTCGTAAGAAGTGTAAAAACGCTTGTATTTTCAACTTTTGATCAATAAAATACCCCATATCTCCTCGCTGCTCAAAATTTTCAAAGAAGCTTGAAAATCCCATTTTCTGATTGGCTGACTTTGAGAGACTGCGCTACATCGGTGACGACATTTATAAAAAAGGCAATGTCTATTTTGGGAGAAGGAACTACATAGCTTTCATATTTATCAATAAAAAAACCCCGATGCAATAAAGTCGCCAGATACTATTTTGAAACGTCATCCGCCACTGTGCACTACTTTGACTAACCCAGCTGGAGGTTAACCAATCGCGTCAACTGTTCAAGGTTGCTGCGAGATTATTGGCACGGTTGCAAGCGTTTAACCTTGGGCCCATCCAATCATACGCGCGAGCAGTTCTCTTACACACGCGTGCGAACGTGCGTACGTACGTCACCTTAGTATGTGCGCTCAAGGTCAACCGGTCAACCGCCACTTTATACCATAACACGCACGCGTGTTCACACTTCTGCGATTACTGTCCCGCACTTGGCTCACTTCATTCGCTTCTTACGAAAACCGCAAGTTGTTGATTACGTATCCAAACAGTTTTTTTGTTCTTTTTACTTCTTAGTTATAACTACATCCGTTTCCACCTTTATCGAATTTACTTCCCAAATTACCTACTACCGTTTTAGCTTTAATTGAATTTTTTAAACTTCACTTTTTTGTCTTCGATCCGCTTTTGATACAGTTACATACATTTTGGGGATCCCTCCAACCTGCCTATGTTTAGACTACACGTATTTTTTGCACTCAAAAAACCTACATACCTTTTATTACGTTTGCCTTTTTAAAATTGGTTAAAATGCCGCCTAAGAGAAGAAAATTTTTTGGACGGCGCATGGCTGCTGCCTCTGCTACAAGAACAACAAAGGCAAGTGAAACAACAGAGCAAACTTCGTTCCGCCTTTCTCAGATGACCTCACGCTCTGCTGCCGGCATCTCCGCGGAAACTATTGCTGAACGGACTGAAAGGTTGGCATCAGTAGCATCACGATGCGCCAGACTTTCAACTGAAGAGCTTTTAGTACAGAATTCACAGGACGCAATACCCGTTTCTAGGGTCAGGGCTTCCGAGTCCCCAACACAGACAATCCTTCGGCGTTTAAGGAATGCCAATGCTACAGCATGTTCTAGAGCTTTAGAAAACCCTGAAGAAACCACTTCACGTCGTTTTAGGAATGCTAGGGCTACAGCATCTTCAAGGGTTTCGGAACAACCTCAACAAACTGATATTCGTTTAAGAAATTCCAGCGCTACTGCGTCTGCCAGAGTTTTAGAAGGTCCTGTGCAGACCGCTAATCGGCGTTTGAGAAATTCCAGATCTACTGCGTCTGCCAGAGCTTCAGAAAGCTATGGGGTACGGCGAGCATGGTTCAACAATAATGGCCAAATCGCAAGGACAGGCGCTCAGCGTCGGGGGGTCTGCATTTAGGTGAACAGTGTTTCGCCCATGGACGGCTTTACGTAGGCTGCTCCCGAGTCGGGAGTAAGGATAACGTTTACGTTTACTCTCCGACAAACAAAGCTAAAAATATTACCTACGCAGAAGTCCTATAGTCACGTTTAAACGCAATGTACACATCTTTATGCCAGCTGCATCGTAGGTTCCTTCATTTTTGAACGCAGTTTATTTAAAGGTCGTCGTAGTGTCCACTTGCCATTACTAAGACATTTCATTAAAGGTTGTATTGCTCACCAGATGCTCCCTTATCACTTAAACCCCACACATTCGCACTTACATGTTGACCGCGTAACCATATTCAGTTGCAACACAAAATCAATACGTGGGAAGGTGAATTCGTTTAATTGTCAGAAAAGTCAAGTGCGTCCACGCAATTCAGGCCTCATCAAAAAGAAGTGGGATAATAAAAGAATAGCAGCATAATATGCATTCTCTGCCGTACACCGTATGTTTCTTCCCTTATCATAACGGCTGCTTTAGGTAACGCTACGTGCGCTTCATGCTCGCCCCAACTGGCTATTAAAAACTACAAAAAAATTTGCGCCACTTACAAGTACTCGCCCCGGCACCTTCCCATACTTCTGTTATGGGGTTCTGTTTGCGGTAGTGGCAGCGGCGTCTTTTGGGCAAAAGACGCATCTACCTTTCAGGCTACTGCGTTTTTATTACGTTGCAACTGACACAGGGCTTCATGTAATATCTTGCACTCAGGGATAATAAAACCATTCCACCGGAATACAAAGCCATCTGCCACAACTCACCAAAAACTTCCTAAGGCCTGTGTTCGTATTAAACTTGATAACTTGTAATTGGAGGTGTCTTAGTAATGGCAAACGGCTGATGCTACCATGGCTGTCCATAGCTTCCTTTTAAGCCTTGCAATTTTTTCTTCCATTGTGCTGATGAATACCGACAACTTGTGTACATTACGTTTTTTACGTGGGTGGCCATCAGTTCTACTAGACTTCAGCCTTACATGCGGGTACAAAATTAGTATGGCGGTTATGACCTTCCATTCAGAGGAAGTTTACTCCCGGGCAACGCCGAGCTTTACTGCTAGTATATATAGAGTAATCGTATTCGAATAGGTCTGTCTACTAAGGTGGATTTCCAATCCCTGTTGCAAGTGCTTGCTCAGGCACATTTGTATTTGTTCAACGCACAGTACCACTGTGGTTTTATATTGCAATTATGCTGAGCGTACCTTTAAGGATGAAAAACATATTTTGTAGCCGTGTAAAAACACGGAAGGGTATTACTATAACGTCCGCGCGTGGCATATAAAAGAACCATTTATCGGTCACCAACAGTGAGCCACAACACCGCTCGGCTCATAGTTTCGGCAGCTAAACTCACTCAGGCGCCGTTTATCGCAAATAAAAATGGGAAAGACATCCTCTACAAAAAGCAGGAAACTGACTGTCATGGCGTCTAAAGTTGAAGCAGATTAAAATGTGATACATATGCTAAAGATAGCATTAATCAGCTAAGTCTAAGTGACAAATTTTACTCACTTTAATCCTATATATATATATATATATATATATATATATATATATATATATGTGTGTGTGTGTGTGTGTGTGTGTGTGTGTGTGTGTGTGCAAATATATAGAAAAATAGGAAAGAACCGTTAGGTTAATAATCTTTAGTACTTTTTGTTTTTATTTAAAAAAAAAAAAACAGTGCTCAATACAAGAGTAGAGTCTAAATTATAATTATTTAAAAAAAAAATGATTCCAACGCTACAAAAGAGTTCTCATGTTTCAAAAATAGAAGCTAAAAACCAGCTCTATTTCATCGTCAATTTTGAAATAACTAATCTTGAAATTTAAAGCTCCGTAAATTTCAAGATTAGTTATTCCAAAATCCGCTTGAGGGTGAAATAGAGCTAGTTTTCTAGCTTCTGTTTTTGAAACATGAGAACTCTTATGTAGCGATGGAATCATATTTTTTTAAACAATTTATATATATATATATATATATATATTGTCATCCACAAACAGACTGTTTCGCTGTATCACAGCTCATCAGTGTGACTAAACATCTGATTGCCTCAAGCCGGGTTCAAAACCCGACTGATTTGGCATCAATTGAAGATTTTAACCATATATATATATATATATATATATATGTGTGTGTGTGTGTGTATACATGAATTATTCACACAAAACTAATGCAAAGGTTAATGATTTTTGTGTGAATAATTCATGTATTTGTAAATTGATTGCACGTTTATCGTAATATATATATATATATATATATATATATATATATATATATATATATATATATATATATATAAAGCATATCATTCCAAGCAAGGCGGGAGTGTTACCAGCACGTAAGAGATTGAGAGCGATGTCGAGTGACATTACATTTGAATATTTGAAGCTATCAGGAAGCAAGTAAGAGGAAAGGAGTTCCACAGACGGGAAGTGCAAGATAAAAAGATTTTGGCGTGAAAGGGTGGGACCGAGATGCACGCTTAAATTCATCCAGTTTGGGAACCAGTGAAAGTAACTCGCCAGAGCAGTTGCCATGAAAATATTTGTTGAAAAGACAGTTGGAAGCCACATCATGTCTGTGAGAAAGTGACTGTAGAAGAGATGCCATATCAGGACTTATCCGTCTCTGGATTTTATCAATGACCTCAAGAAGAACAGCGAGGGCACCAGGCCATATATGACAGCAGTATTCAATGCAAGGACGAATGGTTGATTTGTAGATTTGAAGGATGGACTCAGGCGAGAAAAACCTTTTGGTGCGACACAGAAAGCAACTTTCCTTGCGGTAGATGAAGCTATTGATTAAATATAGTTGTTCCCTCTCTGGTCAGTTGAAAACGTGAAACCAAGCAGGCGCATAGGGGCGCTTTCGTAGAGTTAAGCATCAGGAATTCTCATGGGAGGCAGGGAGGGTTCTATGTGGCGGATAAATGAGAGCAGTTTCGTTTTGGAGGTATTAATGTTTACAAACCATTTCATATATATATATATATATATATATATATATATATATATATATATATATATATATACAGAATCCGCCAAATATGTATACACACTTCAGGAAAAGCAAAACAATTTGAATAGATATTGTAATATTAAATGTATTCAGACGTCACGTGATTAATACAAGTAACCTTTAGACTCTACAAGAGATACTCAAAATGGTGGCCTTCAGCTTCCAGACATTTCTTAGTACGGCGAACTACAGCTTGGACAACCTTGGCCCAAGAGCCTACTTGGAATGTTGCAAGACCATTTTCAATTTTTAATGTTGAACAAAATAATATTTATTTATCAAAATTTGAACAAGATATTCAAAGGGTGTAGATTTTATAACCGTTTACACAAAGCTTCACAAATATTCGATAAGCGCACCACCAGTGACACTCAAACATCAACTCGGTTGACCAGTTCCTGCCAAACACGTTGTAGCATGTCTTGTGCAACATTCTCCAGTGCCTAAGTGATTATCTGCTTCAGTTCCTCTAGTCTTGTAGGAAGAGGAAGGATATAAACCTGTCCTTTCCCATCGCCCCATAGAAAAAAAAAATCACACGGCGTCAGTCAGATGAACGTGATGGCCATTTCAACAACACATTATCACCGGCACACCCCATCCATTTTCCTGGTAGATTGTCAAAGAGATCAGTCAGCACATTCAACATAGCTTTTACACATTTTGTTAAAATTTGAAATCATTTGAGCGAGAATTGGTTATGTTATTAGACTACAAAATGATGTCAACTTTTGCGTGAACCATTTATATATTTATATATATTTATACATTTAAGCCTTTTTATTATATCCTTACTCTGTCCTGGACATTGAGTTCTACCTGGATTCTTCCTCTTGGAATTTTTATTAAAAAAATATACATGTATGGGTATTTATATATTTTGTATATGTATCTACATTTACCACTAATATTATCTATCTATCTATCTATCTATATATATATATATATATATATATATATATATATAAAATGGACATTGAAGTCAACACCTCGAGGTGACAGTCTGTTTCATGCTAAACGCAATCGTCATGTCGCATTTAGCATGAAACTGTCTGACTGTCGCCTCTGGGTGTTGACTTCAATGACTACTTTATATTTACACACGCTCTGTATACGCTATATATATATATATATATATATATATATATATATATATATATATATATATATATATCGGAATAATTGGTATATACGGAATGAATTCCAATAACCAACAATTACTATTCTTAAAAGAGTGCTCAATACAAAGTAGAGCAGATATAATTATTATTTATAAAAAGATTATAACATAAGTATGTTATAAAATCACTACAAAATTAGCAATGTTGTTTCAACACCCTCGGTGTCTTATCAAGTGATATCACTTGATAAGACACCGAGGGTGTTGAAACAAAATGGCTATTTTTGTAGTGATTTTATAACATACTTATGTTATAATTTTTTTATAAATAATAATTATATATATATATATCATACAAATATAATTTAGCAGAGTAAGAAATTCAGATTCACATTCTGTTCATAACTACTTGTTAGGCTATGCACATACACACGCACGTACGCACACACACACGCGCGCGCACACACACACATATATATATTATTGTGTCCACTTATTTTTATACTGATCCTTTCCTTATACTGATCACATTTTCTTGATGTTAAGATGAAATTCATCAAGGAAGGCGCCAGAGTTTTTGTTAACCCAAGTACTTTCAATCTTTTCCAAGATAATCTTCAGGGTGAATTATAAAGACAAACTCATTCTAACTGCGAACGTGCTCCGTAATTATTTCAAAATTTATCCGTTTTACGGATGGAATTTTGGGGAAAAGATCGAAAGTACTTGGGTTAACCAAAATTACGTCGCCTGCCTTGATGAATTTCATCTTAACATCAACAAACTGATTAAACAAATGGAAAGCATCAGTATGAAAATAAGTAGACACAATATGTATATATTATTCAATGAAACATTCTTGAATAAAGATATGCTGCCTATATATATATATATATATATATATATTTTAAAAAGAAGAGGGGTGCCGCAAACGTTTTTGGTTGTAATGTGGATTTATTGAGAAAAAATATTATACTTTGTTTTACATAATTTCACGACACGTGTTTCTGGTCTGGTCTCGCAAACCGTCTTCAGGTGAAAGTGGAGATTTTTACATATTATTAAAAATAATTAATTTTTCTTCATGTTCAATGTGGAATATTCTCGATATGAGACATTCTGTTTGTGTGTTGGCAATCCGAATTTTCTTTCTAGAATTGTCAATGAAGAGTTCTGCGTGAAGGGTCATAAAACAATTAAGGTTTGTCCAGCGAGTAGTTATCGGCATTTAATCTTTTAATGTTTTAGTGACCTCTATGTGCTCTTGGATCTGTTTCTATTTTGGCGTGTTCCTGTCAGCATGCGTGTATATATGCGTGCGTATATTTCCTTACTACGAGGAATTCGTAAACTTATTTGTACTTATACACGCATACACACACATACGCACATACACACTATCCCACCACAAGTAGTCAGTACACACACACATATACACACATATTTCCCAAGCTACATGGAACCAGTACACACACACACACACACACACACA